GAGAGAGAGAGAGAGAGAGAGAGAGAGAGAGAGAGAGAGAGAGAGAGAGAGAGAGTTTGCAACCGTCGGTTGCCTCCACCTTTACTGTGCATTGAGCCTCACTGCTCATCACCTCGAGCACACACACACACACACACACACACACACACACATTGAGAGGTCACCCGAACTCCACACTGGAGACCAGAGATGCGAAGTCCAGAATAGCACAGCTTAGAAATTCCGACGAATTATCATATTAAACAGTTGCGGAGTTCCAGCCTCTAAGCGCTCATCAGTGTAGAGTTCGGCAACCCATATCCAGCATCCTCTTACAAGGTAGGTCACTCACTCCCTTCCTCTGGCTCACTCTCTTCCCCCTGTCTCTCTCTCTCTCTCTCTCTCTCTCTCTCTCTCTCTCTCTCTCTCTCTCTCTCTCTCTCTCTTCGTCATGCATGTGCACTCTCTCTCTACTTGAAGGTTTAGACTCTGAATACATCCGCTACTACCTGGCTCTATCTCCTACTACTATGGCCGCCTTCCTTCCTCACACAGGGCTTCCCAGCAGGGCTCTCGCGCATGCCATTCGCAGATAGCGCAGAAGCGCTTCAGCAGCACTTCCACACTCCTGACGAATGAGCAATCTCCCTCAAATGTGGCTGGCCGGTCCTTATATTGACTTGGACTGAGCCTGGACTCGCCCCAGCCTTGGCTTCCTTTGGCTTGACTTGGATCTGGTACCACATGCCCACGGCCTCTTCGCTTCAGAATGTCAAGGCCTGGTACCTTCCCGAATTTCATTGGTGTGCTGCTGCTTGGGACTGTGAGTTACGGCTTTTCGTCTGTGGAACATGACTTTTGACTGTGGGATGTGGCTCTTGCCCCTGGGACACGACTTTTGCCTGGAGAAGTGTCCTTTGCCTGTGGGATATGGCCTTTCAATGTGAGACATGACTTTTGCTTACAAAGTGCAACTCTTGCCTTTGGGATGTGACTCTCCAACGGGTACCTGTTGGACTTGGCCCCTGGGGTACCCGACTGTGACTTTTCTGAAACTGGCCGACTTGGCTCCTTTTGGCCTGAGACTTTGTCCCTGAGATACGAATTTGGGGTCTGCATCGTGGAATGCCTTTCAACTGGATGACCTGTGGCGTTTGTTTTTGCGAGCGAAACCGCAACAGGGCATGTAGTTACTTTGAAACTATCAGTCCCCCTGCAGTGCATAAAAAATCGGACTCTGGGTTGGAGCTGGGAGCCAAAAGGTTTTGGGCCACCCGAATTCTTTTGCTATTGAAGGATTTATTTTTGCAATCTACGAATTTCTTAAAGTTTTTGCAAGTAACCGGCGTTTGAGAAACTCTTAAGTCATTATGGACATGGACTCCCGCTTGATCAGCATTCACGAGTTAACAAGGCACCTCGCACTACCACCAGAACACAACGCTGAAGTCTCTTGATTAAGAAACCCTCTTCTGACGTCCAAACTGCCAACACAACATCAAAATGGTAGTCCTTGATTCAGCCCTGGTATCACTAACCAGCAGGTATGACTCCCTATCCTTTAATTTTTGTACTATTCCCTATCCTATTGCTAGGCCTAGCAGATACGACTCATCCATCATGCTGAGGAGTTTGTCACACTTTTGTGATGAGCGCTTGAATAGTCTGTCATGCTGGAGTTTCTCCCTGCTGATCACCAATTAAGTACCTGCCTCTCATAGCCTTCCTAGGCCTTCCAAGGATTTCGCCCGACCCACTGCCTCCGTACTTTACACGGCATCCACTGCTATGGTGCCGGCCTTCTTTCTTGGCGCCCACTGCTATGGTGCTGGCAACTGCACGGTGCTTTCTGCAGGCATGCATTGACTTAATGCTGCTGCGACTCAGTGACGACATGCGTCGGAGTTATGCCTTGACTGACCCGGCCTCGACTTGCATAGTGGCTGGGCCCTTCTTTATCTGGTAGGTGCAGCATACCATAATTTTCCAGGGTTGAAACCTACCGGGCCAGTGCAGGGTTACTTGGTTGGCCCTTCCCTGGGCCTACCTGGCCTGAACCTCATGGACCTGGGACCCGGGGCTCACCAGCCTTGTACTGCTTGTCGCATGGGTCAGGGGCCTCACCTTTTTCTAATATTCTTCCCAAAAAGATCAGCACTAAATGTACACCTCTGTTCTGTTTCCGAATCTTCCGCGCCGAATTCTGCGGACAAAACGTTGCACCTGTCTGGGTACATATGGAGGGCTTTGAAGTTTGAACTGCTCGGCAGCTATGACTAAGTTCTAGTTGATATGACTACAATACTTTCGCCTGGATCTCGTTTCTTAAAAACTGAAAAAACACACTGCGATTCTAGCTTAATAGGGTCTGGAGTCTGGATTTATATGGTGTGCAACACTGTGTATGCAAGCCTGGCAATGGAATGGACGCCCGATGCGCTGTTGCTGATATCCTGCCTTTCCTCTTGCTTTGAGAGTTGATTTGGCACTCTATCTTGAACTGCTGAGTTCTAAATGGGTGGCACATCTGTGGGGGCTATTGCAGGAAGGTGATGAGTTGGTCGGCCTCCATTGTTTTCGGTACCTGGGAGAGCAGCTAACCACATCACTTGAAGCAGTCAACGGGTGAGCAGACATACCCCCATGCTTTGTGTTACCCCTTGAGTCGCAAGCTCATGCAGTTCGTACCCTGTAGTTTTACGGCATATGCTGAGCAATGTGTTGAAGAGCATCTCCCATCTCACTTGTTGCCATCCTTGTCTGGTGATACGTGACGGGATCCAGCTGTGATTCTGTGGCTTAAAGCACTAGCACCTTTGCCGATTCAGAAATGACGGAAAACGCCAGCTTCCGAAGAATTCAAAGGCCGGGCCCGACGATGGCGGCCATTGATAAATCTAATCGGCGACCGTTGTTTCATTTCAGCCTCCTGAAAGGTCGGAGGCCCGCTATTTTCCGAACCGACAAAGGTACTAGTGGTTTAAGGAACTGTTTTTGACTCACCAGCTCCCTTGTTGGGACCAGCATTGGTAGGTACGGTGCAACTGTTTTGAAGATCTTATTGTCGCACGTTTAGCGTATCGTCTAACTGTGAGTCACAACTCGTTGATTAATATCTTGATCTTGTGACATACGGCATCCCGTGCTGCGTGTGTTACGGGCGTCTTTGTGGGCTGTTGTCAGGATGCTTGCTGCAGACTTTGTCAGAGTGGCTGTACATAGCAATTCAGACCTGGAAACGGCGGCCATTATTGCCAACTTTGGCCCTCGCGCTCAGCAACCTGCACATAATAATGAGGATGACACTGGGAATGGCATTCTGGCAAGGCTTGACGAAGGGAAGGTATGCGACAACCCAGGGTGATAATTGCCTGTTTTGCGATGCCTCTCTCTTCGACTCAGGGATGGGCGTTGCTTTGTGCCTAATGACAATCCAGGGTGATAATTGCCTGTTTTGCGATGCCTCTCTCTGCGACTCAGGGATGGGTGTTTCTTTGTGCGTGCTGACAATCCAGGGTGGTGATAATTGCCTGTTTTGCGATGCCTCTCTCTGCGACTCAGGGATGGGTGTTGCTTTGTGCCTGCGGCTCTCTGAAGGTTGCAAATATTGCTCGTGTCCCGGTTGATGTAAGATTTCAACAGCGGGTGTTTTCATAATGGCAGGGTGTTTGCTCCTGTGTTTTTTTAGTCGAATTTATTAGACACGCAAGAAACATAATCATTGAAAGAGACAGATTCCACTACAATCGGCGTAAAGGCATGATTGGTACCACACGTTTCACTACATTGACCATCGGAAACTCCTCGTCGTTTGATGAAGATGGAAGTCATATTTAAACGACCAGGTACGGCATCGCGTTTGAGACCTACGGAAGGTACTGCCCAACTGTGATCCACCCTTTTGCCCTTAACCGAATGGTGTGTATCCCCTGTTTCAATCGTAAGAAATTCAACCTTAAGAAAAAAGTTTGTTTGTGGTTCACTTGCACATTCTCTGTCGGCCTTTGTTTTCTATCGCCATCTCTCTCGCCCATGCACACTGGGGTGTGTCACTTGCGCATTTGTTGTGTTCACATGGATGTGTCTGTGCTAAACATACGAGCATAGACCCCAGAGTATGTATGTGTTTGTGTTTGTTCGATGCGTATTTCTAGCCCATGCACGCTGGGGTGTGGTACGTTGCGCATTTGTTGTGTCCGTATGGATGTGTCTGTGCTAAACTTACAAGCAGAGAACCGAGAGTATATACTATGTGTGTGTTTGTGTTTGTTCCATGCGTTCAAGCTAACAGGGTGATGCCCTCTCGCACAACCCCACAATGCAGGTGTGTGTTCGTGCATTTGTTCTGTCCACCTTTGTGTTATTCATGTACGCATCTTGCTCAGACCTTGTGGTAAACTATGTTGGCAGTCCAGTGCTATCGGCGTGGCCTTAGGACAGTTGGGGTGTGTGAAACAAAGCCCATCGATCCACTGAACCAATGTTCTTGGGGGTGTAAGACCCGGGAACTGTGTTGGAATACCCAGCTCGTGCTTTTGATGCCTGGACGAGGATGCCATTGTCTTGTTCCCCTTTGTAATCATGGTGCCATTGTGGTGGTGTTCTTGTTTCCAGGTTTTCTCTGACAATGAAGAGGAGGAGGAAGCAGGTTTGCGCGAAGAATTGCTGCCTTTCGTCATCGGCCTACTGCGCACGGTGTGGATTATTTACCTCAAAACCCTCTGATACTGAAACCCAGAGCCTGAACCTCTCAGGTTAACCCATGTAAACCAGAGTTACCACTCCTACAGGTACCAGCGGTGTGCGGCGGGGGGGTGTATGTGTACGAGTTTTCTGAGAAACTTTTGGCGGGGCATTCCTGTGCATGCCCCAAACACCCAGACACAGCTGCGGAAACAATGTTTCTGGTTGTTTGGGTTGATTTTGGGGTGAGGGTGGGATTTATGTGGGTGTTGTTGGGGACGGGTTGGGGGTTAAGGGGTTGGGGTGTTTTGCCAGGGACGTTTGCAGACTTGTCTGCAGTCAAGTCTGCAAAGATTGTGACGTGTTTGCTGTCTTGTGAACAAAGTGGACATGCAAGTTTCTGAATGACGTTGCAATCGCAATTTTGCGAAAGTAAGAATAGAAAGAAGTGCAGAAAAACAAAACCTTTCGCACATAAGCTACCCAACAGCCTTTTTAAATCGCTCACAATTGGGTCAATTTGATATATGAGCGGGAAGTGTATGAGTGCAATGTTTCAACAAGAAGAAGAGGAGGAGGAGTAAGAAGAAGAAAACGAAGAAGAGAACAGAAACATCTTGGTGCTCTCTCTCTTTCTCTCTCTCTCTCTCTCTCTCTCTCTCTCTCTCTCTCTCTCTCTCTCTCTCTCTCTCTC